TGCATGGGATGACGAGGAAGACGAGCAACGCCAATGGCGCGATACGAGCCCAGATCGTGTCTTGCGGACCCCATGTCTGTTCTCTGACTTCTCGTCAACTGAGGAACGTGGTGTGATCACCAATGACCTCGACGGGGAACAGAGGCGGCAGCTTGAAGCTGACCGTAAGGCGGATCTAAGGCGCGCCCGTCCACGGTCGGTCATTGACCCTCGTGTGGAATATGGCTTCCGCTCTGTAGATCCCGCTTTGAAAGCGAAGGACGCGGTAACTCGATCGTTACGCGTCCACATTATCGGGCCCCTGGCCAGAACGGATGATGAACTTGCCAAGCTCTTCGAGCTCGTTTCTTGGTCTCACAAGAAATTCCGTTGGAAACTTATCGCATCGTCTGAGTGCACAACTAGGTGGCTCTCGTGTACCCGCAATGCGGACAATGCCTGTAGTGCTCGCCCCTGGTGAGAGCACTACAGATGACGAAGCGCTCTTTGAGCATGGGTACAACGGCACCAAAAACTTTCCTTGCTGCATAACCTGCAGTTGAGCCACAAGGAACCAAACTCAAGGCACGCCGTCGAATTCCTTCGGATTGTTGCCCGCGACGTATGAGCTCACAATCCCTAATGCTCCCGCAAGCTCTGTGTCTTTGACCGCAAGCGTAGGACACTCAGTCTGGTAGATAGGAAGTCGCCGACTTCTTTACGGACAGTGAGGGGGCTGACAACTGCTAGCCATTCGGCTATTCCTCTCCAGCCATGGGATGTCGGCTTCAGCGGGACGCAAGAATTAACAAGCCCGCTCGCGTAGAAAGGCGTATCGCCGGGAGACAAATGCACTGCATTGTTTAATGCGAACCCCACAAGTAGCGGTATGTCGCTCCAGCGCTTCGGCCTCACCGCGCAGACGCTGCGACGAACGTCTCCAACGACGCGATTAACGCGCTCAGTTTGACCACCGGTCTGCGGATGGTCCACTGTTGACATATCCAGCTTGGTGCCCAGCAAAACTTTTCAGCGGGACGTGAGTCTCTGTCAGAGACAATTGACTCCGGGAGTCCATGTTGTCGAAAGACACGATACAGTCAGCGTCGCTGTACTTACACCGTCGATGGTATCCGGCACTGCCACAAGATGAGTCATCTTGCCCAAACGGCCCACAAAGACCACCACATCTATGTTGCCCGCCGAGTCCTTCGACAGGCCAGACACGAAGCCCATACTCATGGACTGCCAGCATTCGGAGGGTACTGGCAAATTGGCGAGCGGCGGCGCCGCATTCGGAAATGGTTGCACTCTTTGACACGTCTCACTCGTGCGCACATACGCATTTGTACACTTTAAGCCATCAGTAGTTGCAATGCACAGAGCTTTACGACTTCTCACAACCAAGATGATCACTGAGTGGGGGTGTCGTGGGCCTGATACGGTACTTCAAAACCTCATCGTGAGCAACCACAATTCGTGTCGTATCCGTCGAGTCGGTGGTATAATATAGCCTTTCACTATTCAATGAATATCGGTGCGACCGTGCACGCAGTCACAGCGACAACTTCTTGTTCGAGTTTCCAAACTCCTTGCTTACAGGAGCCTGCGGCAGCGCTATGCAAATATCATTACTCACGTACGCGGCGCAGATTAAATCGGTCATGCACAACATTACTGTCGTGACATGAAGAAGCTCATAATCTGGTCTGCGTGACAACGCATCAGCCAAAGCATTTTGCTATTCTGGTTTGTACTTCACCTCGAAGTTATATTCGGCGAAGAATGAGTGACGCCAGGCCATCCTTTGCGAGAGTTGGAGCGACACAGTAGCAGTGCGTATAGCCGCATGATCTGTGTAGTTTACGAACGGCTTGGAGCCGAGCAGGTGGGCCGTGATCTAGATAGGTGCATACTTCATCGCAAATATTTTCTTGTCGTGGACTGGATAGGCTTCTTTGCAGCCTTGAGCTGGCGAGATTCGAATGCGACCACCCGATCTTGCCATTTCAGATCTATGGCGAAATCCGAAGCGTCACAGTCGACACTAAAAGGATGATCAGGTTCTGGTAACGCCAGAATTGGTGCATGCAGGAGGCTGTCTTTGACCACGCCAAAAGTAGTCCGCTTCCCAGTGTCCCAACATCATTTTACTTGTGCAAGTACTTGGCGAGACCAAGCTAACATGCGCAAGTCCGTTGGGTTCTTTGAAGCCAGCCAAGCCGAAATGGCCTTGAATCTGCTCAAAGGCCACGCTTCCTAATTAGGTACCAATAACGAGAATTCTTCGGCACCGAAGATGCACTTGTCTGCATTAGCATACGGCGTATTCGTGCGCATGCACTCGAGTCGTCGCTTTTATATGGATATATTGGTTCGCTTCATCTATCCTCCCGTGCTCCGCACGACTGTAGACGAAGATGTCGTCAAAATTTTCTGTTCATACACCTGGTGGGGCCTGAACAACTGCTTCACAGGACGATTAGATGTTACTGGTGCATTTGGCAGCCCTTGAGGCATCACTAGCCACTCCCAGAGCATGGCGCATAAAGTACTCACCGCTGTCAGTGGAACATCACTCGCATTCATAAGCAATTGATAATAATCGTTCAAGAATTTGTGAAAGACTACTTAATTGTAGTCGTTCTCGTATATTTTCCAGAGCCAAAGCCGACCAAGTCGAGTGCACTGTACTTTGTACATCCAGCGGAGCGTCCGGCAATTATGCTCGATACTCCACGATGAGAGGAAGTCAGCTCTATGCTGAGACGCTATAAGCGAGTGACATCGTCACGGTTCACTTAGCAACGAGGACATGTGTCGCGGTGCGGAGGGTCTCTGTGAACCTCGGTGTCAAATTTCTTTGATAGCGTGGAACGCTACTTAGTCTTAGACTAGAATTTATGGAATGACCTCATTCTTGATATGGCATGTTTGGAACACAATTAGCCCTGGATCGATTTTCGCTACGCGCAAGTCTCCTGATGGAGCTTTAATGAGTCATGAATCCACCTCTACTAGGAAGCTGAAATCTATTGGCGCAGGGCTGGACTGGACGGTCAACGTGCTGGACATCGGAGTATTCGAGTTGGTAAACATTGGACAGGCACGTTTTGTGTCCGGAAGCCGAATGGCAAGTGGCGTATCATCCACGCTTACAATAAGCTCAATGCTGGCACCTTTCCGGCACAGACGACGATCCTAGGAAGGATGTTCTCCAGAACAACATGAGAGTCGATCAGGATCCACCAAGGCTTCTCAAAGCCTTCACAGCTGCTTTTACGATCAGCAAGCCCGCACGTTCCGTATTCAAGAGCACGGAGCTCTTCGGGGCTGGACCGTGCCGACCTCTACCTCCTTGAGGCTCAACAGAACTCAGTTTTTTTCATTAGGGCGCTTCGCGCCTACTGGGCGCTGTCGTTTTCCCGCAACAAACCAGAAAACTGGTAAGAAGCGGGTCGTTGGCTCGATGAATCTCGACACGTCTTGCGCAGGGGGCAATATTCTGAAGAAGACGTGTGTATCCATAGACAAAACACCGTCGGGTGTTAGAGCGCTGCTCAGTAGCTCGGAGATATGTCTCCTCTTTCTCAGTATAGCTGTGATCCATTTGCCCAGGCTCGCTCGACAAGCTCTAAAAGTGTGCATTCTAACCAAGTCGTGCCGACTTAAAGTTGAATTCGGCATTCAATGCCACATTCACCGCTTCTTCAAAAGAAAACGGATGCACACGGAAGACTTCCATCCTGGCCACGCCAGTGCGGAGGCCCTCTATAAAGACGGTAACTGCGACCACCTCGGAAAGATTCGCTGCCATTCCAGCAATGAGAGTTTGCAACCCTTGGACAAAGTCCAGCAGGTCTTCTTGCCCTGTCAGGCGGCAAGGAGACGCGATCGCACGCGATATGCCTGGTTAGGCGGCGAGAACACTCGCAAAAGCTGACGCTTCAGCTCCTTCCAGGAGGGGAATGCCGCTTCAATCGAAGTTTCGCACGTCAGTGCCCTCTATCACGCTCGGCCCCCGATCCTGGAGATAGCTAGCACCACGCGCTGTTGCTCGTTCCGAACCATGGCGGATGCCATAGCCATCTCGGTCTATCTTACCCAAAGCAGGAGCTCTCTCCATCCATACCCTCGAAGGTCTTAACGCTCACCATGAGCGGCCTGGGTCAGGAGGAGTTATCCGTCGTCGACGGTGGCGTCATGGACGCAGTTAACGCTGACAGCTTCTGCTGTATGTGCTCTGAGTGAGCATTTTCATAGCTCAAAAAAGACTCTTGGCGCACGCTTATCGCTTCAGGTCCTTGCGAAGCAAGGTGTTGCATGCTTGCAGGGCCAATCAGGGACATCAGCTTTAAGCTCAACCTGCATGCTAGAAGAAATACTCCTTCCTTACAGAGGATCAGTACTAACGACACAGGCGTTGATTGGCTACGAGTGCTACCAAGTGCAACGGGCTGCCGTTGCTCTTTGCTTTGAGGAAGCTTATTTAAGGTCACCGACCTTCGTTCTGTACTAGAATCAGTATAAGTATAGCGGATCAAAAGCCAAAAGTACCCAAAACCTTAACTCTAGGCAAATGCACTCTTCTGTTAAAAATTGAAACAGTGTTTATCTGTTTTATTTGCGGCAAAGCTACCTTTATCTAAAACCTTAGGTTTTCCTAATTGAATAGAAAAAACCTAATTAATATAGCATAACCACTGGCAGTTCCGCCACGAAGTGGTTTCTTGTTATAATGTAGCCACTTCATAGTGTGATTACACCGACTTGTGTGACCCACCCTTTTATTACAGGGGACGTGTAACATCATTACATTCGGGCTCATTTTGCGATATTAAGCGTATCCTATTCATGAAAAGAGAGACCGCCACGATCGTATCAGTCGATGCGCTCTGGCATCGGATCTGCTCGCCTTGACGTTGCCGTTCTCTGTGACGAGGTACGACCTCGTTTATCGTACTGGGAGGTACCTCTTCAGTGTACATATTGGAATTTTGAGAATATCCAGTTCTCAAGTTAGGAAAATAAATAAGGCTCCAAACTTCAAAAGTCGGATAAAGAGAAAATATCAATGAGCCGTCTGCCTTCCAGCTTTTAGAATACCTAACCACTCTTTCTGGTCGCCAATTTGGGAAGCAAGCAAAGGCAGTCCTAACATCTCATAAGGCGGTCCTCGTACAATGCGGTTGATTTTGGTAAGTCAAGTAGCTTTACCGGCTCAGGGCTGTGAATGGTCCAATGAAGCTTGGCCTAAGTTTGCAGCCAAGCTGCTTCGTCCTAATGTAGATTCTCGCGCCTCAAGATACTGAACTGCGCGTAATTTATTCATCGTCATGTTCACAACCATTTTTCACCGCAATTTTTACTATCCCGGACCCGTGTCATTGCTTGCGTGCCCGGTAAATAATAACCAAACTGTTGGCAATGGATGTGTACAATTGTTTTTCGCAAGGGAACCGCTTTTTCATCCGGGTTACGCTCTCTGAGCCTTGTCTCTATCAAATCGAACCCTTTATGCTTCCTATGACTGTTGTTAAGGCCTTGATTGATGTCTTGACCCGCTCATGGTAAACACCATAGACACTTGAACTGCATTGTTTAGTGCAAACTTAGCGTCCAGCAACTGCCTGGTCTACTTTTGTGACGCCTCAAATCGAAGTGTGATTTCCTTCAAATAAACCTACTTTCTTTGTATACACTTTCTCTTTATACAGTTACTCGCATACAATATAATATTTCAAATTATCAAACAAAATTTGCAAAATTACCAGCAACATAAGCAATGTCCTGACTCCTATGCACAAATACCGGTAATAAATGACCTCATAGTCTTCCCATTTCATCGGAACTCATCGTGATGAACCGGCTGCTTCAGCACTTTGTAGACTCGAGCGGCGCTCAGCCTCCACCAGCAACGAGACCGTCGATCCCAGTGCCTCCACAATCATCAGGGGGTTCGTCTCGTGCTGGTCATCGTGGCTCATTTCAGCGCACAATACCCAACGGTCCGTACTACTACCAACCTCCACAACCTCCCAACGGATTGGAAGAAATCCCACTTACTTCACACTCAACTGGTGCCATGTACGAGACTGTGGACCTTAATGCAGACAATAATCATCAAAATATTAACTATCAACCACCTAGTATTAAAGAGGGAAATCGATACACGACATTGAATTCAGCCTCGGAATTATTTGCGAGCGGACCACCACCAACGCGAACATTATCCAGCAGCAATCCATATCGACGTCAATCAAGTTCCTCGTCTACATTGGCAATGGAAAATGTAGCCATGTCGGGAATCCACTGGTCACCACAAAATGGCAACATTAACGCTGGTGAGATAGATCCGTTTTCAATACAATCTCCAGAATCAAATATTAAAAGTCAAGAGATACCGCGACAAGCAGTGGATCCATTTGTTTCCACTGTGCCTTCCAGAAGCCATTCATTTCATTCTCCACCTCTTACAAATGAAGTGTGCCAAAGTGCTGACACATTGTTTACGTCGTCGAAATCACTTAATACGACAAAGTGGGTACCTTTTCCAAATTTACAATCGAAGACTCCTCTTCAAGCGCAAGAAGCATTTGCAAACGACCCACCAAGTGCCAGCAGCTTGTTTAGTGGCAGTTTTTCTCAAACTTCAGCTTTGACATCTCAGACAACAGTTGCTTCGCCATCAGAGCTTCAAATCAGTACTCCATCTTCATCTAGTATATATCAAGTTAACACAGGAGTCAAATCTTCGACTCATGTAGAGTTGTCTTCACCAATGAAGCCTCCGTTAGCGTCTTCGCCTTCTGTACCGATCAACGCATCGTCTCCTCCACCAAGTCCTCAAGACACATGTCCAACATCTCCAGATATGCGACCCGAAGATCATGTCAGTAGCTCAATGATGCCATTATATCCTCGAAAGTCCTCACTTAAGTCTGGACTTGACATGCGACACATGAAGTTTGTCGCTGGCAAACGAGACGATGATGCCATTTCCAATGCTCCAAGTCTTGCACCAAGTCGAATGTCCATGTTATCGACGCTAGATGATTCATTGAAGCTATCAGATATGTACAAGCACATGGCTACACGTTTAGAAAGTGAGAAGCACGATTTGCTTAAAGTTGTAGCGAGACAAGCTCAAGAGATGGCACAAATGCAAAAGCATATTCAATCTCTTGAGCTACAGCTAAAGAAATCTCGACTTCAAGATGCGTGAGTAGAAACATGGATACAAGTTGTTTTTGTAGAGAAATGAAATGTGGGTTTTTGATACAACGACTTGTGTCTTTCCAGTAACTGCCTCTAGCTCCATTTTTGTCGTTTCGTACCAATTGTAGTGAATAGGAAAATAGCCAATTTTCTGTCATGCGTCGCACAGCTTCAAGGTCGTCACCTCATCGACACACACTTTCAATGTCAAAAGCACATGCTTCTCACGACATATTACTCACATCAAGTCAAGTAGATGCGTCAAGTATTGATCAAGACCAGAAACTTCTTGAGATGTTAAGCTCAACTGTCGTTTGTTTACAAGAAAAGAAAATGCATGTTGAAGCTCTTGGATGTTTGGAGCAAAGTCTTTGGCTGAAACGACGGATGTTTGGAGTCGAGAGTTCTGCAGTCCACACGACCTTAAACGATGTGATACTTCGTTTTAATTCCCTTGCAATGGAATTACTTGCTACCGAACAGTATGCAGATTGTATAACTATGTTACGAAAAGCTGAAGCGATTATTGCACCGGGAAATTTCGTGCGTTGTCAAGCTCTCCAGATTTTGACATTTAATAATTTAGGATGTTGTTATCGCAAGCTAGGGAATTTACGATCTGCATTAAAATATCTTCAAGAAGCTGCACGAATTGGTGCTCACACTATTCATGTGAAGAATCTATCGATTACACATTTAAATCTTTGTGCAATTCAATCGCAATTGAATCGACATGATCTTGCGCTAGAACATGCACAAGCAGCACTTTTCCATTCTCAAGAAGAATTAGTACAATTGAAAGAAAAACGTCTCGATCCTTGTTATGTTCTCGATGAACGCACACAAGAAGAAAAAATTATTTGTTTAGCTGTAGCATATCACAATTTGGCCGTCGAGCTTGAGTTTAATCAGCGAGGTGATGCGAGTTTGCAATGGTATAAGAAAGCTTTGCAATTGGTGTGGAAATATCGTGCTACGAATGAAAGTTTATATGCTTCGTTTCGACAAATATTTCGAGATGCGAAGATGAAACAAGAGACTGCAAATATTCGAAATAATGGCATTCCTGAATCAGCGTTTGCAGTACGAAATACAAGTCGAAGTCGTCCACAGTCTGCACATGCAGCTGTAAAAAGTAAGAAAGATGGAAGTGTACGAGATGTGTCGTATAGCTCGACAGTTGCGTCGCAATGCTACAAATCGACAAGATTATCAACTTCTGCGTTTCGATCTGGATCAACTCAGAAAAAACGACCACATTTCAATCAAAAGCGGCCTAATTCTGCGAGCTCTACAACTTATGGAAATAAATACACAACGCCAGAGACTTTAAGTGGCAATACACTTGAATCGCATTGGGATAAATTGGAACGAGAGCATCATTTGAAAGATACTCCACCGAAAATGGAGAAAACTCGTCGCGTACAAAGTGCAAGTACATTAAAACGACGACATCAGACACAACAAAAGCAAACGTATCGAGAAGGACAGTTGTTTATGTCTACGAAAGATTCGGATATGATTGATAATGATTCGGATCTGATCGATGCATGTAGCGATAGTGAAACAGCTGAAAGTTTGACCTTAAGCTTTGAAAGCAACGAACAAGAGCAAGAATTCAATCCACGATCACGAAAGCGTCCGAGTAGCGCGATTGGAGGAAGATATCGTGGAGTTAAAACTGTGGATGGATCTTTGAATGAATGTTTATCTCATGCAATTGACGGTGAGAACGAGGCTGTTGATTTGGACTTACCAGCCCAACGTGTTCGTCATTTGGAATATGTTCGTCGTATGAAAAAACTTGCTGACAGTATCAAAGACGATCTTCATGGGGTGGGTGCTCCAGTTGAAAATATGAATCTATCAGTACATGGCCAGGAATCGAGCACTTGTGAAGCTGATTCAAAAGTTTCTACTCCACGAAGCGCGACCTCAAAACTTCGAGATGAAATCAAAAACGCGAGATGTGATTCAACTGATCAAGTTGAGATACTGACTCGACCAATAGATGAGGGACTTGCGCTATTCGATGATAGTGAAGTTTGTCGATCCGAGTGTGCTGCTGAGTTGAAACTCAGCCGTGAAGCTGTAGTGTGTCGACTTCAGGCTTTATTTCGTGGTCGACGTAGTCGTGCTGAAGTGAAACAACTTCAGCAGGTAAGAGACTGAGAATTTCTAGAATTGTTTAAGCAGATTTGATTCATTGTTGTAATTGTTGTCAGGTCAAGATTCGTAATGACGCGACGATTAGAATCCAACGACAAGTGCGACGGCACTTGAAAGAACAAGCGGAAGCACGTAGACTAGACAACGAGAAGGTTCAACTAGAGCTTCAAAGACTTGAAGTGGAGGACATGGCTGCTTGTCTTCTCCAGCGATTATGGCGAAGAGGTCAAAGTCGAAAAGAAATAATTTCAGACACTCATATCAGCTTGGCTTCTCAACAAAAAGATCTTAAAGAAGTTGACGTGTCGACAATTGAGACTGAACACTACAACGACGACTGGGAAAGCCCACGACTTACGACTCCAAATGACTTAACGTCAAGTCGAGAATTAATTGAAGAACGTCAAAATGCTGCAATTCGTATCCAAGCGTTTAGCAAGAGTGCATTCGTTCGTATTCGTTTAGCACTGGAACACGCGAGACTTCTAAGTCGAATGTACATTGAACGACAGCATTTTAGCGTCACACTAACTCAGGCAGTAAGTGATGCAATGTATGATCTCAAGGTCGCAACGTTTGTTTTTATCCACTTGTTTCACGCAGATGGCCTTAGAGCACGAGTTTCTTTATAATCTCAGCGTGATTAAAATACAAGCTCTTGTCCGTGGTCATCAAAGTCGTCTCATCTTTGAATGCTATAAGGCTGGAGTTCATACCGCAGCAGTGACAGTGCAACGAGCATTTCGAATTTACCATCAACGTACGCTTCAAGCACAATACGTTGGTGTACGCAGTATTGCTGCTCGTACCATTCAAGATTCATTTCGTGATTACAAAGCTCGAAAAATGGCTAGACATCAAACTACAGTGAACAAGGAACTTTTGAATGTCTACCATATTGCAGCAGATAGTATTCAAAAGTTTTGGAAACGACATGTTCTCGCATTAAATTACAATGTTCAAAAGGTCGAAGCTGCTACGTGTATTCAAGCTCTTATTCGTGGTCATCTCTCTCGAAAGTCGCAGTATATGTTGCCACTTTGATATCTTGAGTCGGCGATTGTTCGGTAACTTTCAACGCTGTGACTTGTACGTGATGTTTAAGTAGAATAGACGCAGAATTCAAAATGAAAGCACATTGTGTTTGGTATTGATCAATGAAACACGTTGTAAGAGTCAACGTTGCTACAACTTTTTAAGTTGATTCATAAGTTCTTCAAGACTCACATCTACCTCCGCGACTGAGTTTGATTGGTCTTTGATCGAACTTTTCTCCTCTGTTTGATCGTACGCAAATGAAAGACCGGATGTCAATTTTGTCGTCTCAGCTTCATCGCATGATTCAGAAACATCATTTTCAAGCTCAATTCCCCATTCATTATCTTGATGCTCCACTATCATATTTTCTTGACCATCATGACCCAATGCTTTCCAAACCATTGGACGCCACTCTTGATGCTCTGGAATTGCTTGTTGTTTTCGACAATGAGCATTGGAGCACTCAGGATTTGGACGCATGATATCCGATGGAAAAAAGTCTTTCATTGCACTGTAACCTAAATAGTAAGAGACTTGTCCAAAGTGCAATAAGTACTTTAATACATTTTGCACGAGCATTGCTGCTACAAGACCCATAGTAGTTGGTAACGACGCTGCACACACTCCTTCGCGCTTGAGTGTTGACTCGTCAATACCACTTGCAACAATTAGTGGTGGTAAACACTCGAAACAAGCTGTGCGTCCAGGTAATAAAAGCTGAATATGACCCGAAACAGCGTCTTCCGAGACTCCTGACTCCATCCAAGCTTGATTAAGCTCGTTACACGCTTGATTTAGTGCAGTACGAGCTGCATAATTATCAACACAGCTTAAAACCAAGTCAACTTTACTCGTATTGTCCACTCCACCATGTTGAATGCGATCTAATAGCTGCTCAAAGTTGGCAGTAGTAGTGATGTCGACTGTATATTCCTCAAAAATAACATCGGGATTAATACCTAATCATATAATTTTCAATTAGTATGATAACAAAAATTATTGTAATATATTGGTCTTACTATGCAGCGTTTGCTTAGCAGCCGCTGTTTTCGTCAATCCAGCCTGTTCAGGACGAAAGAACAAGCGATTCATATTGGCGATCTCCACCGTATCATAGTCATACATAATGAGTTTGCCAATACCGCATCGTGTGAGCATCTCAGCAGCTACTGAGCCAATACCTCCAAGTCCAACGATAAGCACAGAAAGATCACGGATTTTTTCGTAATTATTGACAATTCCCATCCGTTTAAGTGCCATAAGACGACTGTACGGATTGCTATCCACCACCTCGGCGCTCATCTGTTTTGTACGTAACGATCCGGCTTCTTTCTCTAATTTCGCTTGTACTTCTGCCTTTAAGTGCATCAACTCGGCAATCTGCCTGTCGAGCTTGCGTAGCTCAGCTTCGGTTGACATGGTTTTGTGGTTATGAATACCGTATCCTCTCAGGTCTGTTGTGTAATCTGCCAATCACAGACCTGGAATCTGGACGCTATTATTGTGTATGAATGTGAATGCTTAATTGCAATATTATTGTGTGTGAATAAACGAGCATTTTAACGCGGCGATTCAACGAAAATTTTGTTCTTTCATGCACTACACTACAGATAAACCAGCTCAGCATCGTATGATAGACCCAAAAGCTAACTACATGCAAAATTGATCAACAAGCAGCTCATTTATCTTCACCAAATCATATATATATATCAAAAGCTTTAATATATTGAAAAAGAAAAACTAAAGTTGTTTGTACTAAAAGTGCACTAGATCCAGCAGTGTAGTGTACTAAGTCGCTAATTTCGGCGAGCGTTGACTCGATTTGACTATAGCTATCACTGGTTTAAAATCGTCGATGATAGCGACTACTGTTCTTCATGTAATTGAGTACGATGGGACGTAGAATAGTCGAATACGTATGACGCAAACGGTAGAGAATCGGTAAGACCTTTCGCTGAATATGCGAGTCGACAATATCGAGATATTCCACTGTGCGTTTGCGAGCTGAAATCATCCCACACGACTCATTTGGCTGTTGTTCTAGTAAATAAATAATCTTCTTCAAATTAGCCAGAAAGTCGCCTAGATTATTCGACTCATGGCATCGCAAAGTGGTCGAATGTTGAATCACTGAATTGACACGACATAATTCACGAAAAACGAGCGCAACTTCATCACGGTACTGTAGCCTCATTACGCGCAGTTTCTCAAAGTACAACTTGTCTCGTCCAATAGCTGCAGCATCCAACGCATCTGTTGCAACTTTTCGCTTTTCTCCTCGTTTGCTATTGTATTGGCAGCAATTTAATTGTTCACTGTATCGTAATTGAGTAGGAGAAGTTGGGTATCCTGTCATTGAATGATTTTGCTCTGAGACGTCGTGACTATAAGGACACGGTCCCAACACTGGATCGGAAGACCGACTCAAGTTCAAGCGATGACCTTCAATCAATCGCACTGTCACCTCAACACCTCCATTCTCAATATAAGATGGTTGTCGACTTAAAGATTCGATGCGATGTTCCAATTTTTGCTTGTATTGCACTTGATTGACACTTTGTTTCCACACAAATGACTCGTACCGAGACGCACAAAATCTCAAATGCCGTACATCCGAATCTCCAGTGACTCGTCGCAACTGCTCAATCCTATATTCAATAACCACTTCCATTACTCAATAATCATAGTGACAGTATACACTACACATACATCGCAGAGATTAATCGATCTCTCAGCTCGCCGTGCACCATACGACGCCAGTGCCGCTCCCTCCTTTGTTCAATCTGCATTTGTGTTGTCGTCATCGTGACGCTCGCCTTATTCTCGATACACTTACGCCCTTTTTGTTCGCCTCTTGACATGCTAGTAACTGCGTGGGTATCTAGGGCTACCTCTATGGGTGTCGCTGGCGATTCGGCACCCTTCGTATCTGCTACACACGAGACAGCAAAATCTTTCGTAGCTGCTGGTTCTCGATTATTCGGTACTCCTTCGTGCGAATCGACGGCCTCCGACCGCATACTGCAGTTGCTGCTGTCCTGTTGTTACGAGCCGCGAACTTCCCTTCTTTACTCTCTATGTCGATTTGATGTGTGCACTGGAGCTAACTATTCTGATTTTCTGATATTCAAGATGCACTAAAAACCAGTACTTTAGACTGGAATGGTTCCCTGTTAATCTACATATACAAAGTTTGAAAAGACATTTTGTAATCATTGGTGCCATAACAGCTGCTTAATGATTGCATATGTTTGGCTTATTCGGTATTTTATGACTAAAATTGGCAAAGTTTTTTTACTGCAAGTTTACGTATACAAGTCCATTTCGTAATCATACATCTCCTACGATGATCGTATGAGGTTTATAGTAATACCCGAATGGTTTTGAATGTTATGTTTGGCTCTTTTTATTGATGTAGTTTTCAAAGAGCGGTTTATCTTCTGACTGTGTCTCTTCTTCATAGTATTGTTTCATGCACATGGAATTTGAAGTTAGAGTAATTGTCTTCTATAATGAGCTTGCACGGCAAAGAAGGGCTAGACTGCGTCGATATGATACGATAAGTATGCTATGTTCAATCAGCAAATAAAGCGTGGATTCCAAATTTTTCGTTTTTAAGCCGACAGAGAAGTAAGAGTTAAACAACGAGCAGTGAAAACGAGCTAAGTGAATGTTTCACCTTTATCTGGAAAACTTGGGAAATAACGTAGTTTCTAATGAAGCAGCTCTCGGCGTTATATGCAGCGAAGCTATCGTTTCTCTTTCACTTAGAGGAAACTAAGCTAAGGTCCGTGACAGTTCGTTCTACCTTAGAACCAATACGAGTGTAGCGGACCGCAATCCGACTCCAAGAGTAACCACTACCGTAATGCAAAGCAAACAAACCCTTCCGTGCAAAGTGTAACCTGTATTTCCTGGTTTTGTTGCAAAGCCGCCTACAGTAAAACCTGTCTAAATTTAACATGTTGGGACTGGGAAACAGTGTTTAATTTGGAAAGGGTTTTGAATTAAACATGTTTAATTTAGACAGGTTCTACTGTATGGTGCCCAACATGGGTCCATATCTTTTGTTCAATTTAGAGAGGGTTTTAAATTAAACAGGTTTAATTTAGACAGGTTCCACTGTATATCTAAATTTGAAGGGTTTTCAAACCTAATAGTAAAACCTAATCAAAATGCATAACTACTTACAGTCCAGCCACGTACTGACTTCTTGTACAAGTGTAGCCACACCATTGTGTAGCCACACCCTTGTGTAATTACGCCGTCTTGTGTAAGCCACACCCTTGTATGGTCACAAAATCTTGTGTGATCTACACCTTCACACCAGGGTACGTGTAAACTTGTTACGCTCTCCCCCATCAAAACCGTGAGCACATTTTACTATCGCCTCGTACAAGGCTCGCGTGTCTAAGATACTTCTAAATGCCCATGCTCTTTTGCAAGCATTCTGATCTCAATGAGCCCCGTCTCTAGGACACGTGAGACACCCAGTCTTGCTGGCTCAGAGATCGCTCGCTTATAGACTCCTTCTTCGTCTCCCGCACGCGGTGCAACTTCGGATAGCACGTCCGCGGCTTCAAGGAAAGAGAATTCCGAGCCGTCGCACTCGAGCACCGCGCTCAACTTCGCGCTCAAAGGGGAGGCGCTCCTGTACCCGCGATGCGGACGATTCCTGCGGTGCTCACTCCTGGAGAAACCGCTGCATATGACAAAGTGCTCTTTGAGCGGTGCAGCGGCACCGAGTGTCCAGCTTACAGCGGAGCCACAAATAGGTGGACGTGCGCATGGAACGCCATCTTCGGTTCGAGTTTTTCAAACTCAATACGCATTCCCGACTTTCTTCGTACTGTCGCCCTGCAACGTATGAGTTAATCCATCGCCTCTCTAACGGGTGAGTCTGTGACCACAGCAGCTCAGTGTCATAATTTGAGCTCAGCTCATGGTTCTTTGGCTTCCCTGGCTACGGCCTAAAAGCGCGGGCCGTACGACGACGCAAAACGTCATAAGCGTCTCCGACGTCTGGGCAGTCCTGCCAAAGTGGCATCTCAAACTCCTACAAGTTCTCGGAGTCAGGGCATCCTATCACTTCATAAAATACTGGGTTGACCCTGTTGACGACGTCGACCCACAAGACGGTCCGCGTGATAGTGGACACCACCGTTCACGTCGAGAAGAATCGGCGGCAGACGATAACGACTTGTTCGATCTCCGTCCGGTGACTCGCGATGCTCTTCGAGCTCTTGAGGGGCAAGGTCTGTCGCGATCGGGACTCCGCTGGACATCATGCCGGGGTCGCATACCGCTGTGCAGGGGTCTTTGAGAGCTTGGAGCACTTTGTGCACCGACTGCCTCGCGTTGGGGACTATTGCGCTCTGTGGGAGCGGCTTCTAGCCGTCGAGCAGACGAACGCGTCACTTCGTGCGATGGTGGAGCGCCTGGCGCCGTTGTAGATAAAGATCGTTAAACTCCGTGCTCAAAACCAGTTGCTGGCTCAGCTTCTGGGTGGTCGAGCGCCTGTGGGTGCCGCTCCGGCGCCAACACTTCTGTGTTTACTTGCGCCGAATATCGATACTGCTGAAGCAAGCCCAGATAAAACACCGGGTGGAGCGCATTCTTCTCGGAAGGATTAGCCTATACGCCCCGCTTGACCACGACCATAAAAGGTCCGATAAACCGTAGACGAAGCTTCGTCTTATAGACACCTGAAATTGCATGTGTAGGGAGGTTACAAGCATTTGATAAAACCGAGTCTCCGACTTCAACGATTTCCACATTTCTTCTGCTTTTTCCGTCTGCATACTCTTTCTGCATGTCTTGGCTTTCAGTCATCGCATCTCGAACGTGTCGTAAGACACTCAGTCTGGTAGATAGGAAGTCAGCGACTCCTTTACGAGCAGTCAGCTAGCTACCTGGCTATTCCTCCTTCACCAAGCCTTGAGCCATGAGCTGGCGGTGTCAGCGGGATGCAAGGATGAGCGCGTTTGTTCACGTAGATCGGCATGTAGCCGGTAGATGAATGCACTGCATTCTTCAGAGCAACTCTACAAGTGGCAGCATGGCACTCCAGCACTTCAGCGTCTCAGCGCAGACGCTGCAAAGAATGTCTATAACGACGCGATTCACGCGCTTAGTTTGACTATCGGTCTGCAGATGGTCCGCTGTTGACATAGTGAACTTGGTTCCCAGTACCCTGAAGATTGTAGACCAAATCTTCCCATTTAAGCACGTATCTATCAGAGACAATTGAATACGAGAGTCCATGTTGTCGAAACACACGATCCACCAACAGCGTCGCTGTACCCACACCGTCAATGGTGTCCAGCACTGCCGCAAGATGAGCCAGCTTGCTCAAACGGCCCACAAAGCTCACCACACCCCTGTTGCCCGCCGAGTCCTTTGGCAGGCCAAACACAAAGCTCATAGTCATGGACTGCCACCACGCGGAGGGTACCGGTCAACTGGCCAGTGGCGCCGCCGCATTCGAAGAAGATTTCTTCCTATGATACTCTCACACGTGCGCACATAGATGCTCGTTCATTTGTACAGCTTGGGCCACCAGTTGTGGCAACTGACAGAGCATTAGGTCTTTTCACGACCGAGATGACCACTGAGTAGGGTGTCGTGGGCTTCATAGAGGATGCGAAACTTCGAATCCTCATCGTTAGGAACCCCAATTCCTGGCGTATCCGTCCAGCCGGTGCTATGGCTTATGGTGTTCCAGCCATGCCATACCAAGGATGAGGTCATACCTATAATCAAGTCTAAAATAAAGTAGCATTTTACGCTATCAAAGTCAAGAAACGTGACGTCGACGTCCATAGGGATCTTCGGCACCGTGACTCATGTCCCTGTCGCTAAGCGAACAGAAACGGTGTCACTCAACCGCGCTTTTAGCGCCTAATCATACAGCTGATTTACTTCCATCGTGGAACGTCGAGCATAATTTCCTGACGATCCGGAGTCGATTAGGATATTTCAAGGCTTCTCAAAGCCCTTCACGGTCGCTTTCACGACCAGCAAGCCTGGCTTGCATACTCGTTCCGTGTGCAAGAGCACGGAGCTCTTCGGGACCGGGCGGTGCTGACCTCTACCCCTCTAAGGATCAACAGAACTCAATTCTTCTGCAGGAGTGGGTGCTTTCGTTTCCACGCGACAAACAAGAAGACTGGAGAGAAGCGAGAAATCGGTCCGATGAACCATAACGCGCCTTGCGCAGGGGACAACCAGTCTGAAGGTGACGGGTGTCTCCACAGACAAAACA